TCTGCAACTCTTCTTCATACGACTGGGGCGCCATGGAGGTGGAAAGGCGAATGGAAGGATCAAGGGGAGTGGAAACCGGACTGCAATCGGAGAAATTGAAGTGATCGAGGAGGTCTAAGACGTACTGGCGTTGGGAGAGGCGAATGGTACGATTGGGACGATCCCGTTCGATAGAAACGCCTAGAGGAAAGGAGGTAGGACCAAGATCGCGAAGTTTGAAGTGAGATTTAAGCTCCAACTTGACCCGGTCGACTTCAGCCTTGGACTTGGCAGCAATCGTCATATCGTCAATGAAGACGGGTATGATAATGCGCGAATCCCCTCGACCAAAGACCCAGATACTGTGCTCACAGAGAATCCGCTTGAATCCCATCTCCTCTAACCTCTCGTTCAACGTCTCATGCCAAACCCTTCCAGCCTGCTTCAACCCGTACAACGACCTCTTCAACCTCCACACCCAACCAGCTCCTTTCTCCTCAAATCCCTCGGGTTGGCGCATAAACACGGTCTCCTTGAGCGTACCATTGAGGAAAGCGGATGAGATGTCGACGCTCTCTAGATGGAGATCTTCGAAGGCGGCTAAGACGAGAACGGCGCGTAGAGCTGCCCAGCGAGGCGTAGGAGCGAAGGTTTCGTGGTAGTCGGATCCAGGACGCTGAGAGAAGCCTTGGGCCACCAAACGCGCCTTATACCGCTCAATTGAACCGTCCGCGTTCCGCTTCACCTTGAAAACCCATCTACTACCTATTGCTTTCGCTCCCCTTGGTAACTCGACCAGCTCAAATGTCCCATTCTCCACCAACGACTGAATCTCGCTCAAAGCCGCCTCCCACCACTTCTGCCTCTCCTTCGGCTCCTGCTTCATCGCCTCCTTGAACGATCTAGGCTCTCCATCGTGTGACGTCGTCTTCAGCGCATGGGCAAACTCGCAGGCCTGATCGAGAGTGAGATACTCCGTCCCCATAAAGTCCAATCCGGTTGAAACCAGCGCAGCAGAGTCGTAGGCATCGCTATCTTCGTCCTCTCTGGAATCCGAGTTTCTCTCCAAGTGGGAGTATCCGGAGTCGCCGCCAAAGGATCAGGGCTATCGTCGCCTGTAAGTGGCCTATCCACCCGAGGAGGCGTCTGGAATCGATGAGTAGGAATACGAAGAGGATCCGGAGATACTGAACGAGGTGGGGCAGAAGGAGTGCGATGAGGAGGACGATCGTTGCGTTGCTGAATGGCGTTCTCATTGAGAGACTTGTCTGGACGAGTAGAACGGCCTGGATTGCGTCTAGGAGGAGGAGATGGTGATCGTTCTGGAGTGGGAGATGGAGAGGGAGATGAATGGGGCGAAGGGGTACGAGGATGTGGCGGTGGCACGTGATGAGGGGGCTGAGGAGGGGCTACGTCGACGCGGTGTGGAGCTGGGGGAGGTGGCGGATTAATAAACTCGCCAGAGGCGTCCAATTCTCCCTCCTGATCCGTCACCTCTACCACAGAAGGACCAGGAGTATCACTGGGAGATAAATCGTCGACCAGATTAAAAACAAGAGTGGAGTTACCAGGGAAGAAGCGTTCATCGAACACAGCATGAGAGCTAATGACGATCCTACGCTCAACCGGGTCCCAAAACTGCCACGCCTTCACCCCATTCCCATACCCAACGAAGATACACTTGCGAGTATGCGAGGTGAACGGCTTCCGCTTCTCCTTCCTAACGAGCACATAGGGCAGGCAACCGAAGACGCGGAAGTAGGAAACATCGGGCTTCTTCTTCTTCCAAGCGACGTAGGGAATGCCGCCATTGAGAGCAGAGGTAGGTGTGCGATTGGAGACATGGATATAGGCGGAGACAGCGAGATCCCAGAACGAAGGAGGGAGCTTAGCTTCGATAAGCATCGCTGTAGTAGCCAGAGCCATGTCGAGATTCGCCTTCTCCGCTACGCCGTTTTGATGGGGTTCGTTCGGCTCGGTATGCTGGCGAAGAATCCCTTCCTCTGCACAATACGCATCCCAATCCTTCCCAATATACTCTCCTCCCTTATCGTCCCTCAACATCTTAATCTTCCTCCCTAGCGCCTTCTCTGCATACGCCTTGAACACTCTAAAAGCCCCAAAAGCCTCACTCTTCTTCCTCAAGAACTGAACCGCCTTGAATCGTCCAGCATCGTCGATAAACGTGACCCAATAGCGATACCCGTTGCGGGTGGGAGGGAGGGGACCCTTGAGATCGCTATGGATGAGATCGAGAGGGTGAGAGCGACGAGTAGCGGTCTTGGGAACGTTATGACGACGTTGCTTCCCAGAGAGACAAGGCTCGCAGATAGGATCGGGCGTAGAGGAGGAGGAAATGGTAAGACCATCGACGAGTTTGAGTGTATGCATGCGTTTCACGGCGTCATGATTGGTATGAGAGAAACGGCGATGCCAGAGAAAGAGATCGAGTGGCAAAGTAGAAGATAAACGCGCATGATGAACTCCAAAGGAGGAAGTACCCCCATTGAGATAGCCGATGTTGCCGTCGACGATGGAGGCGGTAAAAAGCAGCACTCCGGCTCGCTTGAAATCGACATCACGCCCGACGATATGAAGCTCATAGCCCTTGCTCATAGAGAGATGGAATAACGATAATACATTCGAGGCGAGCTTGGGAACGTGCAGGACATCATGGAACACTACAGGACGCAACTCTCTACCACTGACAATAGGAACAAGCTCGATAGACCCCACTCCCTGAGAATAGATCACTGACTCGTCAGCCAAACGAACGGGCACGACGTGGGGAGAGTACGAGCAGAACCAATGACGATGAGGGGTCATGTGTGAAGAGGCGCCTGTGTCTGTGTTCCAGTCAGTGGCTGCACGAGAACGGAGCCAAGCGGGGCGAGCTGATGATGAAAGAGCACTTGCATGCCCGGCTTTCTCCTCCTTAGGAGTCTCTCCCGAACCAGACAACGGCGTAGAAGCCCCTCCTTGGGCTTCATTCGCATTTGCTCCCTTCCCTCTACCTCTATCACGACCCCCACGCTTCCCTTGGCCTCCAAAATGCGATGACGACGACGTAGACGATCCAGACGACTTCTGCTTGGCCAATGACGACGCAGACTTCATCTCAGGACAATCACGAACGATGTGGGAGGGAGAGTCGCAGAAGTAGCAAAGGGGCTTGAGAGCGGCGGCCATAGCGAGCTCAGGAGTGTCTTCATTCTGCAGGGCACGACGTTTGCGGGATTGCTCCTCATTGGAGAAGGCTTGGGTGACGTTGTCGAGGGAGACGTCGTCGGAGAGGGTAAGGAAGGTGACGAAGTTGTTGTAGTCGGAAGGGAGGGCCTTGATGAGCGTCATGGACGATAATTCGGAGTCGAGGTCGTCAAGGGAGAACTTGGCAGGGCAGCGTTCTTTGATATGGAAGATGTAGAGGTCGACGCGAGCAACGAGGTCGGAGAGGGACTCTCCCTCTTGGAGACGAGTGGAGAAGAGTTCGGAATAAGCGTCGAATCGCGTACCAGTCTTCTTCTGCACAAAAACTCTCTCTAACTTCTCCCACATCGCCTTCGGATCTCCCTTCTCCTTCCTGATATGCGCCTTTTGGTTCTCCTCAACCAACAGCCAAATCTCCCCACTAGCCTTCGCCTTCCTCTGATTCCACTCCCTCATCTCCTTGGCTTCGGACGCGGTCATGGCTGAGGCGTTGGGAGGGGTAGGAGCGATGTAACATTAAAATTGAACTTGCTGCTAGAGGTGGTGCCTTATCTAACGTTTCTTCACTATCTTCAATGACCGCCTTCAACGTGAATGCCTTCTTTCTGCTCTTCCGCATGTTTTGGACATCCTGCACATCAACATCTCCATTGACATCTTCATTGTCTACAGCTTTGTCCTTCCCCTTCGGATTCCGCTTGGGAACTCGCGCTTTGCGTTTCGGCTTCGTCTGAATCTCCTCCATATCGACGTCTTCTTCCTCAACAGCTTTACCTTTTCCTTTGGCATTCAACTTGCGACCTCGTGGTTTGTGCTGTTTGCGTTTCTTCAAACTTGCCTTGCAATCCAAACCTGAGGGCTTTGAGGATATTAGTATTTTTCTGTTCATTGCAACAAAGCCTACTTACCGTATCTGGACTATCATCATCAATAATGTTTTGTTCAACTAGCAGACAATGTAGAATAGTTGAATTGGCGAGCTCGTTTGGAAAACACAGATCGAGAATTGGGGATCTTCGTTGGGTATGGGAATGGGGTGAAGGCGTGGCAGTTTTGGGACCCGGTTGAGCGAAGGATCGTCATTAGGGTTTCGACCGGATTGGACTTTATGGGGACGGGGTATCGCACCCTCGATCAGGCCTGCGAGTTTGCCCATGCGCTGAAGACGTCGTCACAGGATGGAGAGCCTAGATCGCTCAAGGCGGCGATGAAGCAGGAGCTGAAGGAGAGGCAAAAGTGGTGGGAGGCGGCTTTGAGCGAGATTCAGTCTTTGTTGGAAAATGGGACATTTGAGTTGGTCGAGTTACCAAGGGGAGCTAAGGTGATAGGGAGTAGATGGGCTTTCAAGGTGAAGCGGAACACGGACGGTTCGATTGAGCGGTATAAGTGTCAGGAATAAAAGCTCAGAACGGGCAAATGGCCCAGCACACAACAAACACAGACACAGATATGGGATACAGAGACAAGGGTGAGGGTATGTACATCAATGAGGTTTTTGAAACCTAACCCTAACCCTGAACCGGGAGAACTCCGAACTGTGCTCAGCGTCCTGGATCCGACTACCACGAAACCTTCGCTCCTACGCCTCACTGGGCAGCTCTACGCGCCGTTTTTGTCTTAGCCACCTTCGAGGATCTCTATCTAGAGAGTGTCGACATTTCATCCGCTTTCCTCAATGGTATGCTGAAGGAGACCGTGTTTATGTGTTTATGCGCCAACCCGAGGGATTTGAGGAGAAGGGAGCTGGATGGGTGTGGGAGGGAGCGTCGGCGACGTTTGATTTACCGGGGGCCCAGGTGAGTCGGAAGTCGAAATCGGAAACATCGCCCAGCAGGCTTGAGGTTGAAGAAGTCATTGTACGGGCTCAAGCAGGCTGGAAGGGTTTGGCATGAGACGTTGAACGAGAGGTTAGAGGAGATGGGGTTCAAACGGATTCCCTGTGAGCACAGTATCTGTGCCTTCGGTCGAGGAGATTCGCGTATGACATTATTTATTGGCAAAAAAATCGAGCGCGAAAGTCCGGCAGTTCAGGACGCAAGTCTTGGTCACGTGGTCACTCATTGCGTCGTCAGGTCGCAAGTCTGGCGGGAGGTCAAGCTCTTTAGTCCAAAGTCCCGCGGCATATCCAAGGGCTAACTCCCTGGCCACGAATATATATTTTTCTTGACAGAGGAGATCTTTGCTAAGGGAGGCTGCCTTCCGTACACTGGAGGAGCCCGTGGCACTTTCGGCGCTGTTAGCGGGGGCGCCACATTCCTGCTTGCGAGGTGGCTGACACCACCTCCGTGCCGCCCCAATTAGTCTCCAGTGATTCCTGCACATCAAGATGACTTTTTGGGAGAATTCATCATCCAATGGGTGTGACTTGGAGCGGAAGAATTCTGAGTGGCCCCCGGTGCATGTACGGTCTGCCAGGTTCTGCGCAAGGTCTGCCCGACCAATGCAACACATCAGGAACCAATAGTTACCTTTTGCAAGTTCTAAAATCATTCCGAAGGAACTTAGAATTATATGAGATATGCTACTATCCCCACAAATATTTGGGACCCTCTGCTACACCGAATGTAAAAAGATCGTGCAGAGCTCGAACTTGTGCCACACACATCCTCACACCGGGCGCCGCCCAATTTAGGAAGCCCGGCATACCCCGAAAATGAATTTCACATCGGACTTGGGACTTGCGAGCGACGACTTCGTCGGAAACCTCCCAGACGTGGGTGTACAAATTCTTGCCGAGAAGTACACTTATATTCGCGCATTATCATACCCGTCTTCATTGACGATATGACGATTGCTGCCAAGTCCAAGGCTGAAGTCGACCGGGTCAAGTTGGAGCTTAAATCTCACTTCAAACTTCGCGATCTTGGTCCTACCTCCTTTCCTCTAGGCGTTTCTATCGAACGGGATCGTCCCAATCGTACCATTCGCCTCTCCCAACGCCAGTACGTCTTAGACCTCCTCGATCACTTCAATTTCTCCGATTGCAGTCCGGTTTCCACTCCCCTTGATCCTTCCATTCGCCTTTCCACCTCCATGGCGCCCCAGTCGTATGAAGAAGAGTTGCAGATGCGCTCTATTCCTTATATCAATGCCGTCGGAGCCTTGGCCTACCTTGCGATCGCCACTCGTCCAGACATAGCTCACAGTGTCGGAGTCCTTGCTCGCTTCAGCCAGAATCCAGGCCTTCAGCATTGGAAAGCAATCAAGCACCTCTTTCGCTATCT